ATAAAGACAACTTGTTTCTTCAAACCTTACAAACCAGTCTCTCCTAGTCATGGAGAGCTTTGTCTCTTAGCTTTCAAAGAACTGAAGAGAATTAGGGCCTTACTTTGGATTAGGCTTTGGCTTTTGGCATTGTGGCTGGTTTGATCCCCTATTCTAACCAGAAAAAAAGTTTCTTATTATCAGCAAAAATCCTATTTGCCTATCATATTTGTGTTCGCTGGAGCAGCAGCACTTAGATTCCCTTCAAGAAATTTGTTCTTTGCCTTCACAAATTGACTGATGCAAGAAGCCTGGTTTTCTGTTTATCTTGGCTTTGAATGTTTCTCACTAAGCTTACTAATTTCCACTTTTTAAATTAAAGTGAAAGACATGTGACTCTTTCCTTTACTGGAACACTTATGGGGGTTATAGTGTTATAGATTGTCCTAAGTTCAATATTGTTGTGTCTCTGGGAATTGGGAAGCCCAAGGAAAGGGAGAGGGATGAACAGTCAGAACGTACGCAAAACATTTATGCATTAAGTGAGATAGGTTGCTATGTGTCACTCCAAACCAATTATCATAGTATCACTAAATTCACTTGTCACAGATCACTATGAGAGAGATAATAATAATGACAAAATTTGAAATATTATGGGAATTGCCACAATGTAACACAGAGACATGAAGTGAGTATATGCTTTTGGTGAAACATTGTTATCACAAACCTCAGTTTATTAAAAAAAAAAAGTTAATAACTGCAAATCACAACAAAATAAAGCACAATAACTTATGAACTTATACCTACATGAGAAAAGACAAATAAGTACCTATATTCTTTAGGAATATTAAGACAAAAATTCCTTTACTGTATGCATTTGTACCTATTGATAGATATATAGATGTATGTATATGTGTGTACATACAAATATAGAACACCACAATATAAAAATAAAATGCAGACATGAAAGTTTAATGTTTGAACCTTTCTTCAGAACTGGAAAATGAATAAGAGATGCCACAAATGCAGGGAGTTAAAAATGACGAGAAAAATCTGATCCCCCAAAGTGAGTAACATAATTGCTAAACTGTAACTACCTTCAAAATGTTAGTTTTTCTTGACTTTTCAATAGGAAGGTTAGAATTTTTGAGTTACCAAGTAAGGCAAGGCACACTGTTGTGCTTCAGGCATCAAACTATATGTACTATACTAATAAAGTCTTTTCATCATATTTTGAATATGTGTGAAACTTTCATATTGCTAACTCCTACCTCATTAATGAATTTTTCTTTTAATGTCTTCAAACAGAGCTAGAATTATAGCATCATAGACATACAGATCTCATTATTTCATATTTTTGTTTCTGAATGTGCCATAATTTTATTCACCATATGTGATCTTTTGCACATGATTTCTTATACTGCATCATAAAATAGTAAAGGTTAACTGTAGTAAACTGAAGAAAGGAAGACTTGGTGGGAATAATAAAAGGGAATTTGGCTCACTGAAGCTTGTCCCATTTAATATACCTTTTCCTCCCAGGACAGTATTGACTCTAATTGATTTTTAAAAGAATGTGTATCTTTACTTCAGTAACTTTGCCAGATGAGTACATGGAATATTTCCTAAGTATACCTGATCTCCAGCCTAAAAAAGCTGTAATTAATGTGATCATTACATTTATTCAACTCATTTATCATTTGTCTTATATGAAGTGTATTTACTTGGGAAAAGAGAAAAAATATAAATGTTTCTTAGGGAAAATTGACATTGTAAGTGGTTAGAAACAAGGACTTAACTGGTTTGTCTTTGTTGATAAGATTAAGCAGAAAGATTTTAAATATCTGTTTTAAATTTTTTATGTAAATACAGCTTTATGCTCAGATGCTACTTTGAAAAAAGAAGGAAAAAAAAACACATGTAATCTGGAATTTCTTTTTAATCGAAGGAACCTATGTTGAGTACTAATTATGAATCATCAAGAAGACCCTGAAATTAGAGAAAAAGGATCTGTGGGGGGTGAAGTAAACAGAATAAAATTATTTTATGTGCATTTTTAATACATCATATCGAATACTGCTATTATGTATAACTAACATCTTCATAAACAAAACAGTAAAATTCAAAGAAAGAAGAAATAAGTTAGGCTCTACCTAAGATGTTTCTAATACATAAATACTATGTAGTATAAAAATGGCTACTTGAATACCACACATAAGAGGGTAATTATCCTGTATTAGTTCCTTGGAATATATTTAAAATAGCATAACTTAACATATTCTGTTCCTATGTGTCAGCATGCACAAAGCTGATTTTCCTCTAGGAATGATAATTTTCTTTAAAATATTGGTAAGGTAATTCAATTATAAAAAAAATATTTTCTCACTTTTTATTGCAAAAGTCATTTGTAAATTACTGGAAGAAAGAATGAAAACTTATAAAATTCAATTAAAAAGTCAGCACTGTTTTATTAAAACAATCCTGTGAAGAATTACAAAATGATTTATAAATACTAACTGATAATACTCAAATTATTTATAAAAATATATCCTTATAACCATAAACACAGATATTCATGTAAAATAAGCAATAAAAGAAGATAGAATGTATAACTTTGTCATAGAATATAAACAAATAGATTTTTTAAATCACAAATGATTCTCATACTCTGGTAAATTCCTAGGTACATAACCCAAAATTATTTCAAAATGTCCAACTTCAAAATTAAAAAAAAGTCACTTAATATTTATTTTTCTGAAAGAATATATTCTGTAGTCATATTTGCCTTTTTTAGTTTAATAAATATGTAATAAAGATAAGCTATCATTTTATTACTAAATTTCATGACATAAGATAAACATGTGTCTTTAATGAAGGCTGAATAAAATATATTTGTAATATTTCCCATTCTCTGTTTTCTGGTTGATTTGAGAATTTCAGATTTACTTCAGATGTTACCCTTTATTATCCTATCAATTGCCACATAGAAAGTAAATTGGTAGATTAGAAATCTAATTAGCTTAATCTGAACTTCAGATTCCATGATATTTTCAGTACACATATTGTAATAATCAAATGAGAACATTTAGCATATCTATCATACTAAACATTTATCATTTATATGTGTTGAGAACATTCAAATCTCTATTTTCTAGCTATTTTGAAACATTAAATGTAATACTATTGCTGAGTGCAGTGGCTCAGGAGGCTGAGACAGGAGCATCTTGAGTTCAAAGCCAGCCTTAGCAATTTAGCAAGACCCTAAGCAACTCAGCCAGACCCTATCTCTAAATGAAATAGAAAATAGGAATAGAGATGTGGCTCAGTGGTTGAGTCCCCCTGATTTCAATCTCCAGTACCGCTCCCCCCAAAAGTGATATTATTAACCCTAGATACCTACTAGGCAATAGAATACTAGAATTCATTGGTTGATGAATATAAAATTAAAATTAAGTAGGAGAATTAACTTCTGGAATCCTAAGTTTAAAAAAGACTTCCAATTTTAATTGTCATATCATATGAAATAACGGCCTTTGTCTCAGTAATATATATGTATGTGTGTGTATGTGTGTGCACATGTGCTTCCATTATGTAAATTAAGTGATAAAATAGATAAAAATGTACAGTGTAATTTTTAAAACATTTTGCAATTTAATTATATCTAAAGTTAAATGTAATGTAGACCCATCTATGATCTACGAGTTTCTTTCGTACATACTTCATAGAGCAAAGGCCACAAGCGAACCTATTCACATACTCTTATCTCCAGCACCAATATGTTTAAGTGATTTTCATGTAACTATAAACTTGGCTGTCTTTTTAATAATAAAATTTTGATGGGGTATTTAAATTCAACTAATTCACTCATTCATTTAACAGTCATTGATCTAGTTCTGGTCACTGGCTTGAACAAGTAGTATTACAAAAACAAATCAAAATTCTTTCATACTTAGAGGCCCTCATAGTGATAGAGGACACAGGGACTTAGAACAGATAAACATGCATGCAAAAGTGCCATGTCAAGAGGAAATCAAAAGAAGCAACTCATGTGCAACAGATATTACAGAGAAATTTAGCAGGAATTTTAAACAGTATGAGCACAGGATGATCCCAGTCAAAATAAGTTTGTGAAAAGCATTGTTATGCTTTAGGAATACACAATATTTCATTGTAGTTAGGCCTGGATATACTGAGAACAACATTAGGAAGGAACCTTAGGAAATGAATCTCATACTGACTTGTGATGAGCCTTTGCTGAAATACCAGCATACCTACTCAATTATAGGTTTTAAACATCATTTGGTAGGATGGACATCTATAGTAAACCCCAATTGGATTTTTATGTTAATTAAGGATCATTCTATGAGTGGTTATCCACAGTACTGCCATATTAAAAATACTCCAATATAATATAATTATATCCTCTATATTCTGAAGATGGATGAACACCACCTCCTTCCAAAGTCACAGAATAAATACTTGCCTTGTTTCCCTGAATTGCCTTTTGGATCATGATCTGTTTTCAAGATAGATATTCTATTCTGAGATCACATGTAATTAAATTATTTGTAATGGTCTTTTATGTGATACCAGTGTATATGTACATGTATGCATAACGCAATCATTCATACCATAAATGTATCTATATCTGCATAAACACATTCAAAAATTACGATAACAAAATGCACTGTAAACATCTTCATGAAAGCTGTAATAATGCATAACTATTTTGGCAAATGTAGGATATTGTAACTTAGCACCACTTGACTGTTTTGAATGGTTAACTTTGATGCCAGCAGAAATTCACATTTTTCATCTGATATCCATTATATAGCAGGTTCAGGATTGAGAGATTTCGATAGTCTTAACTTTTGACTAGAGATAACACCATAGGAAAATCAAGAGCTACAAAAGCAAAATATCCCCACAGAAGACAACAAAGCACTATATATTCAGGGATTTCATTTTGTTTTACATAAATGCATAGTAAAATATTCAAATCCTAGGAAAAAGGTACCTACTCTGTGGAAACCGTGGTGGGTTGTCATTGACATCTGTCAAGGTGATGTTGACTGTAGTAGATCCAGAAAGCCCTCCGACTTGTCCAGCCATGTCTTTGGCTTGAATGACCACTGAGTAGTGTTCTCTGGCTTCTCTGTCCATATTATGTAAGGCCGTTCTAATAACTCCTGTAATACATGCATTTTAAACAATAATCAGTGTGTGTTTTACATAAATGAAAGGCTACTCAGATATATTTTTATGTTTTAAGAAATGTTTTCTTTTGTTAGACATAATATTAAAATTTATTTTAACATAATTATAAAGCATAGGATCACTTTGCTCTAATTCAGTCCCCATTATTCTCCCTTTCCCCCTCTTCTCCCTTCCTCTGTTCCCTTTCCTCTACTGATCTAAGAAATGGTTTTTAAATAGCATATTTTTAAAAGAAATCCACACTTCTGCAATTTAACAATGCACTAAAACTGATTTATGGAGTCATTTATCTGCAACCACGTATCCCTAACCATTTTTTTGTGACTAATTAAGATATCCATCAGTCCACATTTCCTGGGGTTGATGGCCCCTTGAGGTCAGTCCTCTGCCCTGATTCCTTCTGCTAGTGGGCTAAGCATTTCACAATTGTTCCTCTCAGAAGTCTCAGTTAAGAGGTATTATTGATTTAAGCAATGGTTAATTTTCTTCCTTACTGAACAATTTACATGGCTTGCTCATAGGGTCATCGAAGTTTGATGAAGGAAAACATTGCAGGAGTGTTGACATTTGAACAAAGAAGCATTTTAACTTATATTGAGAAAAAATATGTTTCCCCAGAAAACATATTTATCAAGAATAAGATATGTATTTTAGCCAAATAAAGTTACGATATTGAGTCTAGAAATAAAGCAAAAGTCACATTTTTAATTTTATATTGCTAGGGAGACATTTAATGCATTTCTTCATGATGGATACTTGGATTGAATGAAGGCATAAAAAATATATATCCATTTTTTATAATGTTTATACATATAAACCCCTTTTGTATCCCCCAGAAATCAATAGCCCTTTCAGTAGTCTTAAATTTAAAAAACAAAACCACATTTTACAGAAGACCAAGTTAACTGAGAGCCTATTGTTTAAAAATTTTTTTTAAAAATCACATAGATGATATATATTATAAATATGTATATTTATGTCTATGCAAAAAGAACTTCTCTTGAACTCACATTTAGTTAGTTATTGCTACAATTTGTTGGAAGTTGTCAATTGAAACTTTTAACTGTAAAGTTTACCAAACATTTGTACATACAATTTCTTGAAATGACAGAGAAAATGAAGTTGTATATTCAGGAAAAAAAAAAAAGTCCTAGGATTGGAAAAGATCTATCACTTTATAAAAAATACTCCCCTTTTTACTGGTGCATTATAATTATTCTTCTCTATTCTACTTTCCATTCGGTTTTTAGAAGAGCCTGTCCTTTTAATTAAATTTATTTTTTTCTAGTTGGTCATGGTGGTGCACTCAGCAACTCAGGAAGCTGAGGCAGGAGAATTACAAGTTCACAGCCAGCCTCAGCAACTTAAGGAGGCCCTAAGCATTTTAGGGAGTCCATGTCTCAAAATAAAATATATAACAAAGGACTTAGGATGGGGATGTGGCACAGTGGTTAAGACCCCCTGGGTTCAATTCATGGTACCAAAAACAAAACATTTATTTTTTCTTTCTAGCTTCCACATATGAGAGAAAATATATGGGACTGTAGACCACATCTCTTTTCTTCTTGTTGTTGCTGTTGTTGTTGTTCTTCTTCTTCTTCTTTTTTCTGAATGAATTTTCTGTGTAATAACTTTGAGAGGAGAGCCTCTGGCATGAAAAATGATTCCAGGACTTTCAAACCTTGTGAACATGTAACTGAGAAAGTATAGGAAAACCCCCTGAAGCTAAATAAAAATGAAAATTATTCTTATCACAATAAATTTTAATAATATGATAATAAATGATTCATCTAATTCATGCATATGAAAAAGCCTCAAGCCTCTTTATTAAAAAGAACAATGTTGTATCACATATGATAATTGCATAAGTAGTCACTGAATTGATGCAGGAATAAATTAGCAAAGGATTTTTGAAAATGTTTTAGAGAAAGGATATATATATATTTTAGTATTTGAGAAAAAAATAAAGATGACTTTTTGGAGAAGAATAAATTATAAATGGAAATTTACTCAGATGGGAAGGAGTGTGAGGATGTTGTCAAGGATGATCTTCTGCATAATCAGTAAAATAAGGCTTTCAAGCTCTATATATCTAAAGATAAAACCCATCACCCATCCTTGCAGAGTAACTTTATAGATATCTCTTTAATGTGTAATTTGAATATTGGTCATTTAAGAGGACCAGAAAAGGAAAACCAGGGAGATGCCCTGTTGTATCCTATGAACCTTCATCATTTCAGTAGGGTGCTTTTATTTTTTATAGGGCAGACACTTACTTGTCAGTGTAAAGGAAAGGAAATAAGCTGACAAATGCTTTGCAGTAGCCAGTATGTCTGGATCACCAAAATCCACATTGACCTGGAGATGGCCTTGTTGCATGAGCTTAGCCAGGACCCCTAGAGTCCTGTTGGTAACTGGGAGTGCCACAGTCAACTTTCCATAGAAACACAGTCCAGGGCAGGCTATTCTCATCTAACCTGAAGCCCAGGTATATGAAAGCAGATGGCCTGGAGCATAAACAGTGCACAGTCATTTTTTTTAAAATAGAATTTTAGTTTGACTCACAGCAAAGTTGAAAAGTACGGAGACTCCCATTTTCTCCCTCCCCTTTTCACACACAGCCTTGCACACTATAGACATCTCCCCCCAAGTTGGTACCTTTGTTACAACTGATGAAGTTACTTCAGCACATCATTATCACTTGAAGTTGGATTGCACATTTAGTCTCATTTTTGGTGTTGTGCATTCTATGAATTCTAATAATAATAAAACATACCTGTGTCCACATTAGATTATCACATAGAATAGTTAAAATACTATGTAAATTGTCTTTCTCAACTTATTCAATCCTTATTTCTACCAATCTCTAGAAAAAAAATATTTTTATAGTCTTGACAGTTTTGCCTTTTCCAGAATGATATATAATTGAAATATGCAGGAGTTACTCATTCAGATGTCTTATTTCATTTAAAAATATCCACTTAAACTTCTCCCTATCATTCTATAGCTTGATAGTTCAGATCATTCTTTTTAGTGGTGACTAATATCCCATACATGGATGCACTGCCAGTTATGTACATATTGATTTACTGAAGAATATATTGATTGCTGCTATATTTCAGAATTATAATTAAAATTGTACTAAAATTCCGTGCAGAGATTTTTGTGTGAATATCAGGTTTCAACTCATTTCAGTATATGCCAGGATGTGAATGTCAAATAACATGGTATGAGTAGAGTTAGTTTTGTTAGAAACTCTCAAACTGTCTTCTACTGTGGTTGTATAGTATTCTTTACCACCAATGATGACTATCTTGTTGCTCAATAACCTAGCCAACACTTGTTGTTTTAAGGGCTCTTGATTTCAATTAATTAAATAGTTGCATAGTGGTGTCTGATTAATTAAAGTATTGACTTTCATCTCCCTAATAATATATGATGTTGAATATCTTCATATATTAATTTGCCATCTATATACCTTATTTCATAAAGTGTCTGGTTTGGTCTTTGGACCACTTAAAAATATATTTTTCCACTTTTTTATTGCTTTTGAATTTTAAATTTGCTTTAACTTATGTATTGTGATATATATGAAGCAGTCTTCATTATTCATGGTTCTCTGGAGAATCAGAATCCATAATTTGCCAGATAGATAGATAGACAGATAGATAAAAAGCAAATCATGAAGATAAATTTTCTCAGATAATGGTAAAGGTTGACAAATTCTATAGTTATTATCCTCAAGCTTTTTTTTAATTTTAATTTCATACCAGTGATTGAACTCAGAGGCTCTTAACCATGGAATCACATCCTCAGCCCTTTATTATTTTTTATTTTGAGACAGAATCTCTCTAAGTTACTGAGGCTGGCTGAAGCTGGCTTTGAGCTTGCAATCCTTCTGCCTCAGCCTCTGGATCCACTGGTATTACAGGCATGTCCCACCATACCTGGATACCAGTCCATATTTGAATGTCAAAATCAAGAGTGTTGATGATAGAAAGTCTAGTTCAACTGTAGAAGAACAAAGACCCAGCTTTGTTCTGGCATCTGAAGGGGCATATTCTCCCTTGCTTTATATTTTATTCCTTTCAGGGTCCTAATAAATTAAATGATGCTCACCTATACTGGGAATGGACCTCTGCTTTACTGATCCTTACAATTAAAATATGAATATGTAGCAATATTCTCGCAGAGACACCCAGGAATAATTTTTAACCATATATGTGGGCTGTCCGTGGCCGAGTGAAGTTGGCACATAAAATCAACCATTTCACTTTTTTTTTAAGGTTTGCTCTTTGCAAATATTTTCTCCAGTGTCTGACTTAACTTCTTTTTCTCTTGACAATATCTTGAAAAAAATAGACTTTGAAAAAATTAATGAAGTACAACATGTCCACTATTTCTTTCATAGATAATTCATTGGTTGTTTTATCTAAAATATACCCACCATAGCCAAGTCACTTGGGCTTTTTCCCATATTATTTCCTAGGGATTTGATTAATTTTACATTTAAGATTACATTTCATTTTGAGTTAATTTTTATGAAGTGTGTAAGGACTAATTTCATATTTTTTTGGCATATAGATGAGTAGTTCATATTATCGTTTTCATTAAAGAATGGATTAGCCATGTTAAGAAAAACTCTGTTTTCTCTCTATCTTAGCTTCATTTCCTTGTGAAAATCTGTTAATTGTATCTTCTGATTTTGTAAGGCTCTCTAGTCTGTTCCGTGGACCTCTTTGTCTATTTTTTCATTATATCACACTATTTTTATTAGCATAGGATTAGAGTAAACTTGAACTTAGGTAGAGTGAGTATCTTGACCTATTCTTCTTCAATACTGTGCTGGATTTTCTGGGTCTTAGTCATTCTAAATATGACTTAGAACCATTTCAGTAATATCTGAAAAAATAACATTTGGGTTTTGATTGATATTTTACTGAATCTGTAGATCAAGTTGGGAATAATTTGA